TAAAAAGTGATGACACTTATAAACTTGTGGCCCTCACCTTAAATATTAAACTACATTACAATATAAAAAACTATAAATCTATAAAACTATAAAACTATAAAATTACAAAACTATGAAACATAAACTATAAAACTGTAAATAAATATACGAAACAAAAAAAACAAAAACAAAAAAAAAACCTGGCAATCAGGCGTAAATATATTACAACTAATATAATTCAATAAGGGCTAAAATGATTTATAGATTTCTGTTCCTTAAAATAGTATTATCTCTACCAAGAAGAAAGAGCTTGATTTGTTCAAATTTAGACGAAGTCAGTCTGTTTACATTCATGTCTTTTTAGATTTTCTACAACATGACTCATTTATTATTATTATTTATTGACAATATTTTTTGCATTTTAGTCCAAGCACGAGTAAAACTGAGACTTCRTCATCTCAAGACAAGACCACACCCAAAGTTTCCTCTTCCAAGTTATCTGGTAGCACCACACCCATCCCTAAGCAAAACTCTACAGATTCACCTTCAAGAACTGCAGCTGCAACAAATGCTACAACTAATACTAAGTATGCTTACTTTATTTCTTGATTAATACATGAAAGAGTTTAATATGCCAGTGGTTTGATATATATCATGATATGCTGTTGATATGAGGATACATTGTAGGCCCCAAGATATTGTTCTACAAAGTCAGAGGATTTGGGGAGAAAACAAGTTTTAAGTATAGTTTTTGTCAAATTTAATTACAACAACCCCATTAAGCCATCAACTGAGCCATTTAGTCATAAATCCAAATTGTCATAATTTTCTCCAATATTTTAGCTTTTCTTCTCAGTTGTCAAAACCAATAGATAAGATTAAAAATTGTGTTTGTTTTAGATCCTCAAGTGGAGGATCATCATCTTCAAAGGGCCAGTCGTCATCTGGACGTATAGTAAAGACATCTAGTGGTAGTACTACTACAGGCAAGACAGATTCTGCTGGTAGTGAAACAGATGGGAAAAAGTCAGATACTGTGTAAGAAGCCCTTGATATGTGTATTTCAGTTCTGTAAGATTCATTGCTTTTCTAAAATAATATCCTTATCCTTATCCAGAAAAGCGAAAAAGGACAAAGACAAAGACAAAAAAGAAGAGAAGGACAAAGATTCCAATGATAAGAGCAAAGAAAAAACTATAAGAGAAAAGTCCAAAGAAAGAGAAAAAGAAAAAGAACGAAGCAGAAGTAAAGAAAAAGAAAGAGATAAGACAAAAGAGAAATCAAAAGATAAAGACAAGACACAACGTAACAAGCACAACACATCGATAGACCTTACAAGGGACAGCGATTATGAGAAAGGTAGGAGTTTGCCAGTGATTGCTAAATTCATACCAGGTGATCTGAGGAAAAACAATATTAGCCAATCAAATAACGAATCACTTTTTGAGAAAAGAATAAATCCCATGCGTCTTTGCATGTCCAAATTATTGATGTGTAGGGAGAAAACAAAATGGTGGACAAGGAAAATACAAGGAGGAATGTCATTTGAGTTAGTTAGTTGATAATTATAATTAGATGATAATTTATTAAGGTTTTTTTTAAAAATTTCTTTAAAAAATATATCCTTGGAAATCTCCAGGATGCTTTTAAACTTTAGTAAAATCTGTTACTGAGAGTGTCTCGTTATCATCAAGGAAAGACTTATTTGCATGAAAGTCACATATATTAATCTTTGTTTCAAGATGGCAACCACAAAACCCAAGTCAAATGAATGATTGTGCAGTGTTGATCAATGGCATTGATTCTTTTTTCAAAAAGGAAATCATGCCTTGCGCACCTAGTCCGATCACCTGGTACTTTCATTACCAAAACAGCTATCCACCGTCCCAGTTGTCTGGGATTTTGACCTTTGGTCAATTACATTTTATGTAATGTTTTCTAGATAAAATAGTTATATAATGTTGCTAGGTATATGGATTGTTATATATTGAGTATTTCTACTTTTAGAATCAAAGCGTCGTAAAATAGATGAATCATCATCTCCATCTGTCCAGGTAGGTAGTAACTCCTCCCTCTTTCATAGTTTGATATGTTTTATGTGTTACTAAAAAACCACACCAATAAACATCACCCACTTGTCACAACTATTGCACAAATACCCTAAGCACTAATTTAATTTGAGTTGAGTGTTGTGTTGTAGATGATGAATGTAGTAGTAGTAGTAGTATATGTTTGGAGTGAAC